GTCATCCTACAATGACAACACACTGCCTGCTGACCAGACTCTGAGGAGAAGTCCATCAGACTTTGCTGATGCGTTTGGTGATTGTGATGATTCTCCTGAGGTAGGAACACATTACATATTATATAAGTAACCGTCCTGAAAAAGCTGCAATTTGGTTTATCGCTTTCTTCACTTGCGTTGCTCCTTTCTGTGGTTTTGATTGAATACAAGTGTTAATAGTGTTCTTTAAATTTCATGATGCTGCCTTCAGGATTAAGCAACGTGTAATTGCTGACATGATTTCCCTTCCAAGGAAACTCGTTTAAATTGTGTCCCTTGTACTCTGTCCATGGTGCTGAACTCCATTTGATCACAAGATGCATATTCATGATCAACTTACAACTCAAGATTATTCTGTCATTTCTTTGTTCCTGAGTTTTATCTCAGTGAATTTAATTTGTCAATGCATTTTTTTTAATTATTTACGCTTTTTACTGGTTTTATTCGAACATGCTGTTGCTGTCATGTGATGCAATTGTTTGAAGTTGTTTACAATTCAAACTCAAATGGATATTATAACTGGTTCACGATTTTTGGACACTATTAGTGCCCTATAGAAATACAAGGGGAGCTGTCTCTCTCCAATCTGCTGAGTTAGGGCTTCCTTTATCTGCTGTTGTCTTGATTGATGTGGGCAACGCAAAAAATGCTTTCTCCTTTATTTATCTAAAATTAGTATTAATTAATTGTACTCGCAGAATATGGTACATTCCGTTCCATGCCTTTGCATGATTGGTTATTCATGTGTTATTTTACTTGGCATTTGCTATTATCTTTTGTTGTCCATGTGCAAACCTGATTACAAAACTAATTTTAAGTAACTTGATATTCGTCCTGACAATCAGAGGTGTTTTAATATCATAATTATACGGGAGGAATCCGTTTTAAAATTAAATATCACGTCTCACATCTTTTGGGAATAATTTGACGAACTTTAGTTGTCTACTAATTGAGCATTTATTGTCACTGATAATGGAGCAAACAAAAGTGCCATCGAGACAGCAAATACTAAAATCATGTCTCCATTGAAATGCAAGAAATTTAGATTTATTTTTGACAAAGAACCTTGCAGAACTAGTTCATGTTTCTCATCACACTCAAATTATTTATTTTTGATGCATTTCACTGGTCCAACATAATCCTTTAAATTGCAGTATGTTTTCCTGGACTGTAGCTGTTTGTCGGCCTCTCTGAAAATGTGTCACAATTCATAGATAAATCAGTGAACAATAACATCAAGTGTAAAGCTCTATACGAAAAAGATTTCTTCTGTTACTGATAATTACTACAACAACAATACAAATATTAAAATACAATTGTTTTGCTCATCAGGATAGAACAGATTCATACAAAGATCATATTTTGCAGATAAATAATTGAATGATTTTTGTCGTCCAAGTTGTCAAAAATATTTCAGAAAAATCATGCCAATAGATCTGTGTGTCACCATACAGTACACACCTGTTGGTGATCTTATTGGTTATCATGCCTACATAGTTTTCCTTATCATGCTTTCAATCTGAACAATAACAACACAAAACAATGTGTCAGCACTAATAATATCAGAAGATATTTTACAAAATTCTCATCTATTTGATATAAAATTAAAGTGTATGTGTTCTGTCAATGTTTTGACATGCCAATGATTCTGTGAAAGCATTGGATTGTTTTGGCAACACAATTTGAATAGTTTTATGTTGATCCCCATTGTGGTATTTTCTATTATTTTTTTCCATCACAAGTGGACAGCGCAGTCCTGTATCAAGGCATGTTGATCCTAATATGTCAAAGCAATTAATATTGTTGTTGTTGTTTTGAACAACAAGGTGAACTGAAAAGGTCCATTTTTAAAAACGTATAAATTCCTCCATCATCTTGTTATACCCCGGAAAATACTCATGGTGTCAGTGTGTACCAGTTAACGAGAGGGCACGGTCATTCTCCACCCTTCGGTCTCATCGAATTTAAAACCTGCTTCTGCTGTTGTACAGCAGTTGACAATATCGCTTCGTGATAGAACCGCAGTGTGAAGATTGTTCATATTGGAGTAAATCACAGCTCCATTTCTGAATATTTGGACATACTTTGTGGCAGTAGAGGTCTTCCTCGCAGTAACAATGGCATGCAGCAGATATGCGCTGCTTTCCGGACTTGCTTTTGTATGTCTTGTCCTCCACCCTGTCGATGGAGACCTCAGCTACTCTGTCCCGGAGGAGCTGAAACGTGGATCTGTTATTGGAAATATCGCTAAGGATCTGGGACTTGATTTAGGGAGACTGTCTGCTCGCAAGGCCCGTATCGATACTGAAGATAACAGTGTTAAGTACTGCGGTATAAATCTCAACACCGGAGACTTGATTGTACAAGAAAGGATTGACAGAGAAGGGCTTTGTGTGAAAAAGGCATCATGTGTTCTGAAACAGGAACTCGTATTGGAAAATCCTTTAGAACTGCACCGTATTAGTATCCGCGTTCAAGATATCAACGATAATTCACCCCAATTCAAAGAGGAGTCACTTAAAATAGAAATCCACGAATCTGCGGACAAAGGTGCAGGTTTTCTCTTGAACGAGGCGCACGATGGAGACATCGGAGAAAATGCTGTTCAGGGCTACTCACTTCAGCAGAATGATTATTTTAAACTGAATGTGAAGACAAAGGGGGTTGGACGAAAATATGGTGAATTGGTCTTAGACAAAGAATTAGACAGAGAGGACAACAAAGAGATATTGTTATTGCTTACCGCATTCGATGGAGGCTCTCCTCAGAGAACAGGTACTGTAGTCATACACGTCACTGTACTGGATGCTAATGATAATGTACCAGTGTTTAGCCAGTCCGTTTATAAAGCCAGTCTGCCTGAAAACTCTCCTCTGGAGACATTGGTGATCACAGTGAGCGCTACTGATGCAGACGAAGGGATGTATGGTGAAGTTACTTACGGATTTGATCACGTTTCAGATGAAAACCAAGTTTTCTCTCTGAACTCTAAAACTGGGGAAGTTAAAGTGGCTGAATCTATTGATTTTGAAAAAGAATCTTCGTATGAAATGCAGATTAGCGCAAAAGATGGTCTGGGATTAGCGTCATTTGCAACAGTGATAATTGAAATTACTGATGTAAATGACAACGCCCCTATGATAAATCTGAAATCACTGACTAACCCCATACCTGAGAACGTGTCACCTGGT